TTGTTTCGTTCGATGAAGGATGGATTCAGACAGTCGTGTGGCCGCCACTTGAGGGATTAAGCGTTACGCTAAATTACAATAAAGACAAGAGGATTTTGTTACGAAGCGCGGACGATACTTTACGGTGAAGAGAACTTATCTATAAATTCTGTTTAAGTCTATCAACTACGGTCACGCTACGCGGTTTGCTAAGCTGCGCTAAAAATGTGGGACACTTTATAACTGTAAAGTACCGACGCTCCCGGCGCGCTACGAAACTCCAACTTAGCGGCTTAAAAACTCGACGTTCTCTCGAGAAGTGACGTTCGGAATACACGCAGAAAGAACAATATAGTTGAATAACCGACGAAATATTCATCATCGAAGTAGATTAGAAACTAGTCAGACATTCGAGCGTCGAAATTACGAAAATCGAATTAGATTCGAGAATTCTCAACTAACAAAGTGTCCTATCGTTCGCTCGGTTTCGAACGTTTTAAATTCAAAACTCTAATAAAAAATTACTGACTCACATTGAGATTATTATTTTATACGGAGAATAAATTTATCCTTCCACGAAGGATCAAGATCAAATCTTTCCAACACAATTTATTCAACTATACAACAGTTCTCTGCCCAAACGACGACAGTCACAATCTAGCGGATCGCAGATGGATCGAGTCGCAAAGAACGTCGCAAACGCAACTAACTCACGGGGAACACGATCCTCGAGCATGGTTCGTTTCGAGAAATCGTCCTTTTGTTTTTTTCTTTTTTCTTTTTTTTTTTCTCTTTTTACATACGCAACGAAGTTAGAATTTCGCTTCCAGTAGAAATAGAAAATCGAAAGTCGCGGGACCGACGTATTGTACCCTCGACATATTGAAAGAGAATCGCCGCGTCACCCGATCGTTGTCGCGTCTTTCTTAAAAAGCGTCTAACGATAATCGCCAATAGCATCATCATCATCGACGACCGAATCGTTCCGTTACGATGCGATGGGAACGAATGGTTCTACGTTCAGATAATATCTAACTAACGAGCTAACGTGTGTGCCTTCAACCGGAATCGTTAATCGCGTACAAAAAAAA